TCTAAAAGATCAGTAAGGGCCACACCAGTGAGTTAGTGTCTCAAAGCAAATGAAAGTATAAGTAAAAAACTCTGAGCTTTTGTTAGTTGTGAGCCTGTGTAAAGTGGCTCATCATTTACTGGAGGAAGCCTTTCATTAACGTCTACTCCCAAATGTGATTCTTCATTTACTGACTTGTCCGTGCCGTTTTCCATGGAAAATTCCTCTCCACTACCAATGGATTCAGAGTCAGTGAAGGACTGCCATAGTGGTTCAAACACACCATGGTCAACACTGTCCTCAAAGCTGAAGATTGATGACTCTGTTGTTTGGCTCAAATTTGGTGGTAGCTCTTCTGATTCAGGGTCTGTGTGCAGGCTCTGTAAGGGCAAAAAGAAAAGTTGACAAACTCTAGGAAATTTGTGGCATTGGTGTATACAGGGTAAAAATAAGGCTTAAGCTCATCAAGTTAGGTAAAAAACAAAAGCAAACAAGTGTATGTTTGAAGACAAAATCATATGTGAGATCATTGGCCAGGTAAAATTCCTTACTGTAATGTCATCACTATCATGTGCATCTTCCGACCCGTTGTCAGAGGACTCCTGATCCAAGTTCTGCTGTGTAAGAAGAGAGAAGTCTTAGTGGAAGTTAGGGATGGAAAAAACTATGAATTTTCATGACCGACCACCGAGCCTCATTAACCGGTTGAAACCGGTTAACCGCGTAGTTTAAAATAGTCCACGTTCTTTGAAATAACAGCCATTTCGAGCCGCGTACTTTTCATAAGTGCAACTCCGAGACAGCGGCGCCAAAACCCGCAACAGCTTTGGCACCTTACCGCGCACAGAGAACTGCTGTTTTAATCTTCCCATTCTGCTGTGCTGCGGGTTAAAGCATTTTTAAGCAAAAGACGGCTCGTCCACATGGTCAGAGCAGCGAGTGACGCGCCGCGTCTCAAAGGTCTCCGCTAAAGTTTAAAAGTGACATGTGTGGAGCTGATCTAATGACGAGGACCAGCAGCAAAAACATGTTTCATGTGGTTTGACTGGAGCCGCGTATTTGTGAGGATCCTTTGGGCTGCGTGACAGAGGAGCGCGACAGACCGGTATGTGTGTGTGTGTAAAATACATGTATGTATGTATGTATGTATGTATGTGTGTGTAAATATAAGCTCCAATGTAGCTCTGACCCGCACCAGTGTGCAACTAGCAGGCGGTAAGACAGGGGAGAGATGATGCGTGTGGATGTTACGTATCAATGGAGGGGGGGAAGTGTGTGTGTCTGTGCAAATGTGGCGCGTGCGGCGTGAGAGTCGGTCCGGAGTTTACTGATACATTGGCGCACACAGCTAGATACGGACCCGCTCGTCACATCGTGCAAATAGGGCTTAAAACAGCGTTATGAAGAGACCTCCCCTCTCCCCTTTTTTAACCGACAGCTTTGACCGGTTAACGCTGTGAAGGTTAACGCTGTGACGGTCAACCACCGGTTAAACGGTCACCGATTTACATCCCTAGTGGAAGTACTATCAGTGAAACACAGAACAGTTAGTAGTAGTTATCAGCAGATTACTTATAGTAATCCCGCCACCATCGAGTCTGTCTTCTGAGCCATCGTCAGAGGCCTCCTGATCAAGTTTCTGCTGTGTAAGAATAGAGAACAGTTTAGGACAAAGCATAATTGTATACATGGCTGATTATGTTGATTCGGTATTATGTAAAATATATTTCATAATTAAACACTATTTAGCAATAACAGGGTTTCGAAGGGACTCTCTCTTAAGAGGAGGAAGCAAAATGTTCAATGTCTGCAAAGTGAACAGGACGGTTCAAAACAATATTCTAGTCATCCAATATCCCAGGAAAAGTAAATTATACTTACTGTAATGTCATCACTATTATGTGCATCTTCAGACTTGTTATCAGGACTCCTGATCCAAGTTCTGCTGTGTAAGAAGAGAGAAGTCTTAGTGGAATTACTATCAGTGAAACACAGAACAGTTAGGAGCAGTTATCAGTAGATTACTTACACCACCATTGAGTCTGTCTTCTGAGCCATCGTCAGAGGACTCCTGATCCAGTTTAAGACAAAGCATATGAATGATATAGATGGTTATACAGTATATACATCCATGTTACACGCAAAGCCTTATAATTACCTGAAGTAAGCTGTACTTCATATCAATGTTTAAAACATCATAGCAAAAAATATCACTATCTTAAATGGGCCAAATGCCCACCGCCTGCAAAGTGGATGGAAGTTTTTGCCACAAAATTTCTCAAATGGAGAGCTTTCCGATTTTTCCACTACACATTGGGTCTGACACAAAACATTGCTTAACATTCAAAATAGATACTAATCAAGAAAGATTATTTCAGTTATCTGATTAATTTGTGGCCATGTTGTGCAGCATATTGTCACCAAAATAAACACAAAAAGTCATGTGCCTGACTCACCGTTCCCTGCTTTGACAGATGCTTGTTGATGTCCTCAATCAGCTTCCTAGAATAAGAATGAGAAAAAAAATCTATTGTGAGATGCTGTTTTGAGCCTGAAGAAAAAGGTGTGAAATTTCTGCATCTGCTCTAACCCCCACCTCCCCGCTGTTACATTTGGACATACGCAGTAGCAGAGATGAAACTTAAACAGCAATAGCGGTGGGTACATGAATTAGCTCCGTGTGCTTCGAGCGCTACATGGAGAAATCTACTCCTTCGTTCGTCCAAACTAAAACACGCGAAGCTCTAGGTTCAGTTTCCATTTTTTGCAGCATTCACTGCAGTTTTGCAGTGAATGCAGAATTATGTTGGTGCATGTTTTTGTGGCGCCTATGCGGATGTTGTTGAGGAAGTAACGCTGTATACTGCCGGGGCTGAGCATGGGCTGAGGTTACTCTGCCTCCTACTGGCCGGGAGCTAGAACTACATCGTTCTTATCCCCGTATGAACCATAGATCTATAATATGAACGCTGTGAAATTAGCAGTAGGAGCCTGGTCGTTTCTTTTAATAGCTTGGATGGAAACGTCTGCGCAGCGCCTCTGTATAAACGGGGCCTAAGTTTGCTAGCCAGTATGCTGCATCATGCTACTTACGTTTAGCTAACGCTAGCTAAGTCAAACTTGTAAAAACAAACACCACAGAACTAGCTACAACAGTAGCATAAATACAGAACAACTATTATTGTAAGCTTACTAGACTAGGCTGGAGAAAAACACAAACCTCCTTTTCCAGTATCTCCTTGTTCTTGATGGAATCTCATATTCTGAATCAGGGGCAATGTATTTCCTTCTCCTTCCGTCCATAATGATACCTCTCTTCAAGCGATGGGAAGAATGGAACTCTCCACAGCATCAAAAAGGACCGCAGTAGTGACTCGCATGGTTTCCAGAAGGTAATATCCCGCCCATTCTCTTTTTTGTACAGCAATCACATTGTGGCAATGACACAGATGCTAAAATGCTAAGTTAACCGGCAGAATGTTAAAACACTACCCAGAAACCAACGCTGTAACACCAACGTATCTGATTGGGCGAGCTAGTTGTTACCATAACCACCTTAACCTGGCGCGAACAGAGCCATATACAAACTTGGGCGGGAAGAATAACAGCCGTTACCTAGCATTAACGGCATCTACCAGTGCACTTTTTTCTGCATGTAGTCGCGGTTAGAAGAGAAAATGAAGTTTGCTCTTGTGAGTTGGTCGAAGGGGAATGATAAAGGCGCCCTTAGCATAGTGCCCATAAAGTTGGTCATAGAATTTGATCCTGAAAACACAAAAAAAGAGTATCTCGTCGAGTGCCGCAGCATTGGAATGAAAAAGCCTACTAATGGGTGGCCAGTTGAATCGGCACACATTTTGCAGTTAGCAGGCAAGTATCTGTGCTTATGTCTTTATACTTAATTAATCATACAATAATCATAGTAGCACCTGCTGAGAATTTTAGCATCATTTTCCAAGTAATGTTTACCGGCCATGTAAAGTTAGCTTTTGGACAGTTAATTAAGCGGGACCAGGTCGAAGTCATGCAGTCCTGCTTAATTTGAATTTTCAGCAGGCTAGCTAACAGCCATTAGCCTCTGCGTCTGCGTCTTTCTTCATATGAACTTCATTGAATTGACAACTGCCTCCAACCAATGGGTTATGCATACTTTTCTAATCTATTTAAATTGAATAAAATTACTCTGAAAACTTCAATGGGCATGGCTGAAATGTGTAGTACATCCCATGTTCAGAGTTTACATTCAAATTCACATTTGGCAAGGCCAGAGCATGCAAAAAAAAAGTTGGCTTTGTTTAGAAGTGGTGTTGGGGGTACACACTGTCCCCATGTGGTCCGCAGCCTGAACGTATTTGATTTGATGTAAGTCACATTAAATTCTTTCTTTCTACTATTTTTTTTTTTTTTTTTTTTTACAGATAAGGAGTCTACACTCAAGGTTGCATAGCGAAATCTCTTGGAAGAGAATCAACCGAAGGGCAAAAAGAGAAAGAGGTTGCCCAATGAACTGTACCTTAACACCAAGGAAGAAAATAAAAAATCAAAATTGCAAATAAGGTAAGGGGTTCTTTTATGGCTGCTGTTAATGTATTTTTACATCTGATTTTTGTACTTGGGTTGTGAGCCAGCCGAACATAAACTATAGAAAATAAAAAGTATTTGCTGCAATAATTTTGGGACTAGCGGCATGGTGGTGTGGTGTACTGTCACCTCACAGCAAGATGGTTCTGAGTTCTAACTCACTGGCTGGCATGGGCCTTTTTGTGTGGAGTTTGCCATTTTTTTCCTGCATACTCTGGCTTCCTCCCACATGCCAATGTATGTTGTGTTAATTGGTAAATTGCCCATCTGTGATGTGTCAGTATGTACTATAGTACTACAACTATGAATTTTAACATTTTAGCCATTGGACATATTGACCCTAATAATTAATTGTGATCCATTCATAGTTCCATTCTCCTAATGTTTCATACATAATTGGTTTGATTATTATTACCCAACAGAAACTCGACTACAAACGAATGGCTGCAAGACGGTCTGAGATGGAGATTTTCTCCCAAGATGAACCTGACCTCAGCCCAGTGGACACTACTTCCTCAAGTTTCACTACTTCTGAGAAACTTGAGGAAGAAAACAGGGCTCTCAGGGAAGAAATTAAAAGACTACGGGACCAGCAGAAAGCAGGATCTTCTGCAGATCTTGAGACCCAAGTCAAGGCTCTAACTAAGGAGAACGCATATCTGCGCAAAATGGCAATAAAAGGTAACTTATCTCTTTCAGATTAAAAAAGGCATTCTTTTAGATTGTATGAATAATTTTCTAATTTTTGTTATTGTTAATAAAGATATAGGCCTACCTGTGTATACATGTTAGGGGAAATCTACAAATATAGTATATAGGGTTTCCAGTTGGAACAAAAATTGACCATGGTCTAAACACTAAGAGGTGAATCCTCCAATGTGCTCAAGTCCAAAAAAGTGCTTTGCGTGGTGCTTTTCAGCCTATCAATTTTATTTATAGAGCCCTTTACAACACTCAAGGCGACCAAAGTGCTTCACAATAAAATGACATAAAATCAATTTAAAACATTTATGCACTAAAACAATAAAACAGTTAAAAAGCATTTAAAAAAGTGTCACCTGCTATTGAGTGATAAAAGTGTTAAAAGCCAGTCTGAAGAAATACGCTTTGAGCCTCGATTTAAAAAGGCCAAAATGAGTAAGGACATGCATATCAGGGGCAGCTTGTTCCAGAGTCTGGGTCCAGGACTGAGAAGGACCGGTCTCCCCAGTGTTTGAGTAAAGTCTGTTGTTGGAACGCACAACTGGCCTTATATGGCACATGAGTGACAGACTAAAGTCATTGATATAATGAACAAATGGTTGAAACGCGTGCAGCTAATTCACATGGGATAATTTCACCCTTAAAGGGATTTTCTGGACTGAATCAACCTGTAGCCCTGTTGTTTCATGTTAAGTGCTGTTGCTAGGTACGAGAACGACAGAATTTCATGCATGGTAGACCAAATAGTGAAATGGCAGCCAATTTTTGCTGACAAAGTAGAAATTCCATTCTTTCAGAATCTGGTTTTGGATTTCAGATAGTCATAGTACACAATATTCTGTGGGTCCTAAAATCTATAATAATTATTAGAAAACTGCTGGCAATATGGGAGTACCTGTTCTGAAATAGGCTGGCAGACAATGTCAAACATTCTGCCATTGGTATTTTTCTAAAATGTCAATTATAAATTATTCTCTTTTGTGTTCCTGTTTGTCTTTTCTTATCACAATTGATTAGATGCGACTAGGGAATGACGACATCCGGGTGGCTGCCCATTGTTGGGAGACGGCGAAGGCGCAACCAACTGCAAAGGGCATGGCCCGCACCCTCCTGCTGGGCCTGTTTAGCATCGATGTCCTCTTGAAGTCCAACTTGACTGGAGGGATTAACAAGGTCAGCCTCTGGATCCCAAGAAGCTAAAAGCTTTACTTGGTAAGACTAAAACAATATTTTTAGTGGACTAATATATGCTTGAAAAATATTACCAGTATTGGGATTGTTATAGAAATCTTTTAGTAAAGCAATCTAAATTAACATAAAATAGTTGATGTGTAGTGTAAGTAATTAACTAATAGTAAGCTGATAGATGGAGACGTGTTTATACATATCTTTGGCAATATATTTGTGCCAAAGAACAATGTGTTCAGGTCAAAGCAGATTACGAGTATCTGAGTTGTATCAGTGTAAAGAAGCGTAAAGAGAAGCCTTGAGCGACACATATCAATACTGACTTAATTTGTGTAATATTTAGAGTAGATACAGTGCCTTGCGAAAGTATTTGGCCCCCTTGAACCTTTCAACATTTCGCCATATTTCAGGCTTCAAACATAAAGATATAAAATTTTAATTTTTTGTCTTGAATCAACAACAAGTGGGACACAATCGTGAAGTGGAATGAAGTTTGTTGGATAATTTAAACTTTTTTAACAAATAAAAAACTGAAAAGTGGGGCGTGCAATATTATTCGGCCCCTTTACTTTCAGTGCAGCAAACTCACTCCAGAAGTTCAGTGAGGATCTTTGAATGATCCAATGTTGTCCTAAATGACTGATGATGATAAATAGAATGCACCTGTGTGTAATAAAGTCTCCGTATAAATGCACCTGCTCTTTGATAGTCTCAGGGTTCTGTTTAAAGCGCAGAGAGAACCATGAAGACAAAGGAACACACCAGGCAGGTCCGAGATACTGTTGTGGAGAAGTTTAAAACCGGATTTGGATACAAAAAGATTTCCCAAGCTTTAAACATCTCAAGGAGCACTGTGCAAGCAATTATATTGAAATGGAAGGAGTATCAGACCACTGCAAATCCACCAAGACCCGGCCGTCCCTCCAAACTTTCATCTCAAACAAGGAGAAGACTAATCAGAGATGCAGCCAAGAGGCCCATGATCACTCTGGATGAACTGCAGATAACTACAGCTGAGGTGGGGATGGTGTGTTCAGGGTGATGAGCTGTGTTGCTTTTACGCCAAACATATCGTTTTGCATTGTGGCCAAAAAGTTTGATTTTGGTTTCATCTGACCAGACCACCTTCTTCAACATGTTTGGTGTGTCTCCCAGGTGGCTTGTGGCAAACTTTAAGAGACTTTTTATGGATATCTTTGAGAAATGGGCACTCTTCCATAAAGGCCAGATTTGTGCAGTGCACGACTGATTGTTGTCCTATGGACAGACTCTCCCACCTCAGCTGTAGTTATCTGCAGTTCATCCAGAGTGATCATGGGCCTCTTGGCTGCATCTCTGATCAGTCTTCTCCTTGTTTGAGATGAAAGTTTGGAGGGACGGCCGGGTCTTGGTAGATTTGCAGTGGTCTGATACTCCTTCCATTTCAATATAACTGCTTGCACAGTGCTCCTTGAGATGTGTAAAGCTTGGGAAATCTTTTTGTATCCAAATCCAGCTTTAAACTTCTCCACAACAGTATCTCGGACCTGCCTGGTGTGTTCCTTTGTCTTCATGGTTCTCTCTGCGCTTTAAACAGAACCCTGAGACTATCAAAGAGCAGGTGCATTTATACGGAGACTTGATTACACACAGGTGCATTCTATTTATCATCATCAGTCATTTAGGACAACATTGGATCATTCAAAGATCCTCACTGAACTTCTGGAGTGAGTTTGCTGCACTGAAAGTAAAGGGGCCGAATAATATTGCACGCCCCACTTTTCAGTTTTTTATTTGTTAAAAAAGTTTAAATTATCCAATAAATTTTGTTCCACTTCACGATTGTGTCCCACTTGTTGTTGATTCATGACAAAAAATAAAATTTTTATATCTTTATGTTTGAAGCCTGAAATGTGGCGAAATGTTGAAAGGTTCAAGGGGGCCGAATACTTTCGCAAGGCACTGTATGTCTTTGTTTACTCTGGTCTATTTAATGTCAGTCATTTCCTTCTTTGTGGCAAACTGTTTCAGACTGCTGCAGGTGGTATCGGTTCCATGATTCATTGTATATGTGCACATTTACTAATTAATAAACTCATTGATTGTGTTACAGCTCTTGGTTGTTTACATTATTTTTGCTCTCGGTCAGTGCAAAATTTCCACAACAGGATCCACCTTCCTTTTGCAACAATCAGAGGATAACATTTGTTTTTATCATGTTATCTTCTACAGATGCAGTTACTCAGAAACACCCGAGGGAGCAGGTCGCTGATATTCGAACAGCCATTAATAAGAGAATTTGCGAACTGAGGCATCAGGAGAAGAAGTCCACAGGCAGTGGAATTTAGCGTGTGCACTTGTTTGTTGTCCTGTGTATTTCAGGAAAATTATTTTTTTATTGAACAATGGTTATTTCTAAATGTTTGAACTGAACAGTTCAGTTTAACATAGATATATGTTTATATAGTTGTTTAAAAATAAACTTTATATAGTTAAGGAATTACTGTATTGAATTATTATTCAATATTCCTATAAAACAGAAATTGTACATTTGATTTTCTGAAAATTCCCATTTAATAAATTCATAAATGCCATGTATACAAGATACTGTACAATACATAAACAATATATATATATAAACACATTGAGGTATATCTCAATATATAGGTAAAAATGTCATAATTGTATAATATATTTAGAATGCTTCTTCTGATATATAATTGAATACATTATGGGTCATATTTCAATATATTTAGAATACTTCTTCTGATATATAATTGAATACATTATGGGTCATATTTGAATATATTTAGAATACTTCTTCTGATATATAATTGAATACATTATGGGTCATATTTGAATATATTTAGAATACTTCTGATATATAATTGAATACATTATGGGTCATATTTCAATATATTTAGAATACTTCTTCTGATATATAACTGAATACATTATGGGTCATATTTAAATATATATACAATACTACTTCTGATATATAATTGAATACATTAAGGGTCATATTTCAATATATTTAGAATACTTCTTCTGATATATAATTGAATACATTATGGGTCATATTTGAATATATTTAGAATACTTCTGATATATAATTGAATACATTGTGGGTCATATTTGAATATATTTATCAATATATTAAATAGTATAACAATGTGTTTAATCAATATATGAAAACGGCAATAATTGCAGTATTTTAATATACTGTATAATATATCACTTGCATATATAATATATCATCATATAATATATCCTAAGATATATTATGTGTAATATATGAATAGGCATTAAATATATTGTGACATAATATATTGGGAAGTATATTTCTGTTGCGTATGGGATAATAAAAGTGCTATAGAATACTGTGCGTGTTTGTGCGCATGTGTGAGAAAATGCATGCGTTTGTGAAGTAACATCAAGCACCGGCGATCCAAGATGGCGCCTTATTCAAATTAATGGTTTGTGCTCAATGGCGCTTTGTGCCGGCATGGGTGTCGAAAAATTAGCGGAACTCGCCTGGAACTCGCAAAGATCCATGGGAACTCACCTGGCATCGTCTGGTCCTCCTGGTTCGGCGCATTGGATGATCTCCCATGATGCGTTGCGCCAAACACGTGTGTGTGGCTTTCACGCACGTGCACAGAGGGGCTCGGCTGCACTCTGACCAATCAGAGCAGTTCATCAGAGCGGGAGTTAGAGTGAGAGCCAGACAGAGTTTGTGGCACTAAAGTTTTTAAAGAAAACCGGAGGATTTAAGAAGAAAAAAAGGATGACAAGGGACACTAAAATCCCCACAAAATCCGACCTTTATGAAAGCTGTAGGTTCTCTGTCAGCTGAGGTCGCACTGTTTTAGTTTACATTGAGTTCTATGGGGAAAATGTCTGGGTAGCCCACGTGAATTTAGTCTGGTTTAGTCTGCAGTACCGCGAGAATCCCCCGAGCACATGGGTTCTTCAGCTCCAAGCTAGTAATACACTATCCAGTTATTATAATAGATCCATGGCTAGAATCGACAGTGTCATTTCGTTTAGTGTAGTGAGCCTTGAGATGATAACCAGACTTTTTTTGGGGGTGCTCCGCTGGTCTGCTGCTTTTGTATTTTCAATTGATTTCAATAAAACATTCAAATGTGACACCCCTTATATGCACTGCAGCAGTCGGGGTCCTGAGATGCTTGGCCATTGCATTTCTGATGTGTGCCTCCTCTCCTTGAGCACTCTGGGCTTGAAGTGTCCTCCTGACTGCTGCTCCTGACCCAAAAACCTGTTTCCATGGAGATCATAATCCATTCCTAAATAATCAGTGTGACCAGCAGTGTCCAGAAGGGAAGAGTGTGTGAGGAAGAGGGGAGGTAAGGCGGCACAAAAAGGTCGCCACACCATTATTGGAGGACTTTTGTCTGTTTTTTATTATTCTTTGGACTTTAGTCAGATCCAGTCTTTGCTAAAGACTGGCGTCAAACTATACTGAAATATAGTTTGGAATATTCATCCACACAATTGAACCCAGATTTTAACATAGACTATAGTCAAAATATCAAGTTGTTTTTCACAATTTCTGATTTTTAATCCAACTGAAACTTTCTATGCTTGGTGAGAAGGGTCAAGACATTTGCTTGATGTGAAATATATCAAAATATTAGTTTGTTTTTAGTATGCCTGAATGGTCCTGGTTTAGAGAGGCATAAGAAGGCATACTCAATAAAAATGTACATCCTTTATTAAGGTTCAACATTTATGGACATTTATCAACTTAAGGACCAATGGCTCTAAGTCAGGGGTCCTTAAACTTGTCGGAAGTAACGAACCCCCACCAGTTTCATATGCACATTCACCAAACCTCTCGAGTGAAAAATTAAATATTATATTTTTGAAATGATGATTTTTCAGGACATGGATATGTTTTTTTCTGGTGCAGCAAATGAATCCCCTTGTTCAAAGAACAAAACCTACACAATGCAACAAAGGACACACCTGCAAATCAGTGTGACTTCTGCAGTTGCCTCCGAGAGACC